TGTTAACGATTTGTAGCCTGTCCCTTAATTGGTGGTCCCTTATTACCGAATCATTCTGGTATAATGGACTAATTGGATTAAAAGCACAATTAGGGGATTGACTTTAATTATGTTTGGCTTATGATTGTCACGATTGTCACGAATATTTGGGGGAAATGTCGATGAAGCTTGGAAATGAGTGAAGGTAGAGGGGGGGGGGGGGGGCAACGCCCCAAAAGGCCCCGATTTCTAGGGCCCTTTTTGGATTTTCGATATGTGTAGGGCCTTTTGGGGCCCTAGCATTAACTTCAATTTCATCAAGTTTGATATATGCTGAGTGCTTTAATGATATTATCTGACTACTTGCACAGTACTTTTATGTTTATTTGAGTGTATTTACATGGAGATTATGGTCCATAAACACTATCAAATAGTGGTCAGGGTCAAAAGGCCCCAAAAGGCCCCGATTTCTAGGGCCCTTTTCGGATTTTTGATATGTGTGGGGCCTTTTGGGGCGTTGGCCCCCCCCCCCGGCCCCCCAAGGTAGCATTTTTAGGTAGCAGTTTTAAACTAATTACAACACTACAAATCTATTACATTTATTGAGTGCTATGTAACCTGGCAGTAACGTTGAAAAGGACTTTGAGGGGGTCTGCAGTAGTCCCCCCGCATAGTATGTTTGTGTTTCACTGATTTGTAAACTGAAGACGTAAATACCAGGGATTCCCTCAATTCCTTAAGTTCATTTGTAACTTGGAATCGATAACTAAATCACATTCCACATCTACTAAATATCGTGAAATGAGGAGTTATTGAAAAAATGTGAGGCCATAATTTCATAATAACCGGTTAAAAATGGGAGGAAGGCGGATGTAAACTAGAAAAGACATTTGATCTGAAATCTGATGTCAATCTCAATTAATTAAACATACTCCTCAACGAATGGAGTTGAAATGCTGAACGATCAGGCGATCGTTCATTAGCCACATGGAATACTTATTGTAATGAATGTTTATAATCATATCTCCAAGCAGCAAAAGATAAATCTATAGATCTTCGTTATTCCATGATGTAGTGTACTATACCTTGCCTGTTAAAGTTAAACAACTAAAAGAAATGTTCATCAAAGAGGCTAAAACTTGAGATATTATCAGTTCAAAAGAGACCGAATTTTCGGTAACGGACAAAGCCATACCCCACTAGAACGGAAACAAAAAAATGTACTCTAAATTCAGTGTTCTAAGTTTTTACATCCTGAATCAACTTGGATGTTTAAAACGCAAAATGTTGTATTTCATATCCGCAACAATACCTTAGTTTTTGAGATACTAGAAACTGCTGGTACATATTTGCTAAAAAACATCTGTTAGTAAAACAAAGTCCGAACTAAAGGGTCGAAACTAGAAACTTTTGGTACATATTTGCTAAAAAACATCTGTGAGTAAAACAAAGCCCGAACTAAAGGGTCGAAACTTCAAAGAAAAGTTCGAAATAAAGGGTGCTTTTTTATGAGACGATAGTACGAGATGAAACAATGTTTGAAGTAGAAACAATGTTTGAAGCGAACATTTTGAGACGTCTTACATCGCACGGTGTCTCTTGCTCAATCCTACTGACTACCTACTGTAATAGATCTTCAATAACTACATCACATGGAATTTATTTGTTAATTGCAATTGAATGAAGACGCCTTTGTAGCTCCCCATTATTGGTTAGGTACTCAACTTTTAGCTCAATGCTGGATCAAAGAGCTGATCTATTAGCACTTTTGGTTTATGTTCTTACTCGCCCCTACTGCAGATCAACGATAACTAGTATATCACATGACATGTATACTTTTTCTTTGTAAAACATTCTCATTTGTTAACTGTAATTGAGAGAAAATGCCCTTGTTATGTAGCTCCCTATTAGTGGCCCAACCCAGGATATGATGTAGCACTTTATTTCACCCGGGATGTTCATGGTTGGTTAACACTTAACAGCACTTCACTTCATGTTGAACAGTGCTTGATTTGTCATTAGTCCGATTAAAAAGTTCAACCTGAAGCTGAGGTGAGTTCCACACTGGTATTAGTAGTGGTACCAAGATGGTACCAGGGTGGTACCAGGGTCTAATAACCCCACACAGGCTCTAATGGTGATACTATTATGTTTACTGTTCCCCTCATTTATACACTCATATTGATAAAGGGGGTCGTTTAGAGACGGGAGTATTGATAAATTAGATATAATACTTCTACTCAGACATAAATTAGATGATAATATGATGTTCAGAGGGGGTTCCAATATCAGAGATAAGATTAACACTCAGGTACACTCAGTGGGTGTCACGCTCGATACACCTAAATCAGAGGCTTGCTAAAATACCGGGAACATTGTGTAAGCGAGTTAAAACTCACATATTACTATATCAACACAGTAGCAACCCCATACGGTCCTACAAAAGATTGCAAAAAAAAACAGTTCAAAGTCGTGAAAACTTATCAAATTAAGGCTGATCTTTACAGTGGGGGTAGTAATTTGCGGAGCTGAGAGTATATTATAATAGTCGGGGTATTATACTGTATATATCACATGTACACTAAAAACTCACTGTAATAGTCAGGGTATAGTGTGTAGAGAGTGTACTTGTGAGAGTCAGGAGGTATGTGGTACTCATGATGAAGCGGCTAACTAGCAGCTTGACGAGGATTTAATCACATTAAAATTCTGTTTTGCATAGTTTGCTCTCCACGAGGAGTAAACACTATATATAAAAGTGCTATTAATAGATCAGCTCTCTGATCCAGCATTGAGTTGAGAGTTGAGTAAATAAACAATAGGGACTAGGGAGCTCTACGAGGGCATCTTCGTCCAATTAACAATCAATGAGAAGTGTTCACAAAGAAGAAGTAAAATTTCATGTGATAGTCATTGTTGATCTATGAGTGAGAAGAAGGCACCGTGCAATGTAAAGCTTCTAAAAATTCACTTTCGAACCGGAGAAATTGATAATTTCTGGGACAAATAGTGAATAGTAGCCTGGAACGAACAATTATTGTGTGAGCTGTAAAGTGTGTGAGCCATGATTAAGTGTGGTTATTGGAACCAGACAAGGAAACAGTCGGAGAAGGGAGGTACATAGATAAGAGTTCATCAATCTCAGGGTTCGTTCATCTCAGAATTCATTAAGGATATAGATAAGGACTCAAAAGTGACTAGTTTTGACTGAACTGTTGGTATAAACTAGGTTTATATTTAGCTCTAATTATCTTTTATAATTAATTTCAGAGTCAACTCACACAGGAAAGAAACTGGAACAGCCCACCTGCGCACTTATCGCTAAATATAATTATTATCTAGATGCAGAATATCTGAATGAAGATAACTTTTCGTGTAAAAGCAGACTTCCTGTGTGGAGTCAAGATGCTTCTAGAATTTTCTTTGAAAAGAACCGAACATATTACAGTTTCCTTAAAGGTACAGTACCTCAGCAATTATACACCGCAACCAGGCACTTTATAAGCGTGAGATAGGTCACGTGACTCCGCAGATCGATAACACATATTCACTTCCAAGCGTTATACTATGGAACATGAATATTCAAATTGAAATTATCGTGAGCTACATAAATCACAATCTCAAGCAGGTTGGACTTAATAAACATTTTAACAAGGAGATGTAACTGAGCAGTTTTGTTTATTAATTTATATACTAGTAAAATTAATTACATTCTTATTAACTGTAGTGTAAAACTCATTAATTAAATTACCAGTTTGTTGTCTGCACACTTCAAGTATTTAAGATTATTAAAATTAAACGATGATGAATTAATGGAACTCGTCCCTTTTGTCCATTTTAATTCTTATTAATGGCCTCCCAATTGACACGGCAACTAATATTAAACTCTATACCTGACTCACTGATTCTGAGCACAATACTTTGCTCCTTCACAAACTTAAATCATATATCAGCGTCAAATTTCAGCGCTAGGACTGGCACTAAGAACAATTGAACACACAATTCATGCCCAAAGCCACGAATTGAGCCTTCCTGGCGTTGTTAGTTTTCACGATAGTAAACTTATGAAGCATCTCCAGGTAATTTATAGGTCACGTGACATGGACAGAAGAGAAGAGAGAGAGAGAGAGAGAGAGAGAGAGAGAGAGAGAGAGAGAGAGAGAGAGAGAGAGAGAGAGAGAGAGAGAGAGAGAGAGAGAGAGAGAGAGAGAGAGAGAGAGAGAGAGAGAGAGAGAGAGAGAGAGAGAGAGAGAGAGAGAAGGGACAGAATTTTCGAACATGGACGTGACTGGAATGTAAATTCAGATGTTAATAATGTTAATATGCGGGGACCAACTTAAGAGTTGCTGCAAGTGAATGGCTCATTAATAGGGGCATACACCAAAACAGTGATTTGTGCCCCCCCCCCCCCCAAATGACCTCATAGGCAGTTCAGTGACCATCTAGCGCACCGTTTCCACAGCACACCAAAATAAATCTTTTGAGAATACCTATTTTTGTAATCGAGCATTGAAGTCACACCATTAATCTTGTAATCACATTATACTGGTCACGTCTCACACATCCGATAAATCGAACAAGAAGTAACTGCCAAGCGAACCGGAACAGAGGAGAATTAATAATAACTGTAACTAAAAGTGCGAACTAGTCTCAATATTACTTCTCTGAGGCAATATTGCGGTTACAGTTATTTTTTTCGTAGAAAATATAAAGCACTCCTACAACATTGCACTACGGGTTATAATAGTGTAACATTAAATAATAACTAAAATTATATTTAAGCTATATTATACTCATTGTAAGTACACGTTAATAGGACTGTTCAGAATACTTGTAGAAACAAATCAAGGAAAACGTTTAATAACTGACCGCTACCAAGTCAACTTATTTCCGGATTTAGATTTTTTCAGCAGAATTAAACATGCATTCTGAATATCCCCCAAAATCCTCTCACTTTAACAAAAAATCTGAGTATTACTGATATTTCGCGCTCAAGTAACGAATGAGATCAGTCTACTCACCTTTAACTTGAAGATAAGTGTAGATTAATGTAGAGTAGTGTACTCAATACTGACAGTTGGTAGGGCTCCCTCTATCTCTCTCTCTCTCTCAACAGACAATGTATAGAACACGTGGGCACACAGAAACAAGTCACGTGAAAAGGATATCTTTCACAAGTTGGAGCAGCGAGCAAAAAAACAGAAAACCCCAAAACAGCACAGCACAGGCCTCCTCCTAGCACTGCTGACTATATTGAGCAATGTCCCCGTGAAAACCAATCAGAGCGCAGTGTTGCGACCACGTGGTCTAAATGCACCAATCAGGTGAGGCGTGACTCTGCACGTGGGCTAAACAGCCGCTATATATTTTCCATTTCAATCGCTTATACCTTATTAAGAACACAAGAACTTTTGATCAGGGGATTAATGCTTAATAAGGTCATTGTCATGCCCAAATATAGTGTTAATTTACTGGTCTAGAGAGTTAATCTGACCTAATTTGGTAAAATCTTGCTGTGTTCATCTCACGTCTAATAATTGCTGGAAGCAGGTGCCATGACAAAAGGGACTGGAGAAGGAAGGTAGCAGAGAGAGAGGAGCATTAAATGGAATTATAGTGGGACTCTATTATTGTAATGAGCAATTCGGAATCACGGCATTATCTTTAGCAGGTCATGGTGGTTATCAGGCTTAAGTAAAATAGGAGCTGATCACTATCAGTAAGATGCTACAGTGTAAGGTTAGAGTGTGAGGTTACAGTACAGTCAGTACGAGGTTACAGTGCAGTCAGTACGAGGTTAGAGTGTGAGGTTAGGGTGTGAGGTTAGAGTGTGAGGTTACAGTGCAGTCAGTAAGTCAGTACGAGGTTAGAGTGTGAGGTTAGAGTGTGAGGTTAGAGTGTAATGTTAGAGTGTGAGGTTAGAGTGTAAGGTTAGAGTGTGAGGTTACAGTGCAGTCAGTAAGTCAGTACGAGGTTACAGTGCAGTCAGTACGAGGTTAGAGTGTGAGGTTAGGGTGTGAGGTTAGAGTGTAAGGTTAGAGTGTGAGGTTACAGTGCAGTCAATACGAGGTTACAGTGCAGTCAGTACGAGGTTAGAGTGTGAGGTTAGGGTGTGAGGTTAGAGTGTAAGGTTAGAGTGTGAGGTTACAGTGCAGTCAATACGAGGTTACAGTGCAGTCAGTACGAGGTTAGCGTGTGAGGTTAGAGTGTGAAGTTAGAGTGTAAGGTTGGAGTGTGAGATTACAGTGCAGTCAGTACGAGGTTACAGTGCAGTCAGTACGAGGTTATAGTGTGAGGTTAGAGTGTGAGGTTAGAGCTTTAGAGTGTTAGGTTACAGTGCAGTCAGTACGAGGTTAGAGTGTGAGGTTAGAGTGTGAGGTTAGAGCTTTAGAGTGTGAGGTTAGAGTGTGAGGTTAGAGTGTGAGGTTAGAGTGTGAGGTTAGAGTGTGAGGTTAGAGCTTTAAAGTGTGAGGTTAGAGTGTGAGTTTAGAGTGTGATGTTAGAGTGTGAGGTTAGAGTGTGAGGTTAGAGTGTGAGGTGAGAGTGTGAGGTTACAATAATACAATAAGAGGTTACAGTAAGAGGTTATTACAGTGTAGCTAGTATGTGATTATACTGGATTTTATGTTTGTTTGTTTGTGTTACAGTACAGTGTAGCTAGTATGTGATTATACAATATAACAAGCTTTGTGTTTCACTGTCGATTTAACACCACTCTGAAACGCGGGGACTTAGTGTACACTCTATTGTAATGTTAATGTTCAAGCTTCATTAACAATAGCAGGAATTGTACTCGCTGAGAGCTGAGGAGGGGTGGGGCGGGCAAACATTCCAGATCATTCGAGACAAGATCTTAATTAAAGAAGCCTTGAAATATGAATGAATAGATTATAAATATTTCGATACGTTAAAACAAGTAAGGATGGGTTACTCGTTTACTCTTTGGTTAAGTATTAAGTTAGCATCAAATACTGCTAAGAAACGAGAGCCGCACATAAACCTAGATTAAGCTCACAAAGTATCAATACTTACCCGCCACTAACGCTGATTGCTCAGTCTGGCAAAATTTAAATACCAACCATAAAACCAGGCTGCTGATTTGGAAAGTTAGTATTACAGATTACATCTGACGTAGGACAGACGTGCCTTTCAAACATTTTGGGAAACCAATTTTGAGAGTGGACCAGATCAAATTTGTTGGTAATTTGATTTGTTGGTGAACCGTGATGTAAGTTAATTATATTTTATATTAAAGTTTAACATGTTCAGAATGGGAGTGAGTCTTTCTCATCCAGAATTTATGGAATATTTAGACCTAATTTTCTCACCCCAGGTCAATAAATTGTCTAATCGTTTTCCCACAATACTCGACCAGAGGTTAACTAGGATAATAAATTGGTTCCCCGACCTCCGAATCTTAAAGTGTCAATTATTGACCATTCTATGACAATGAGTATTTAGGTGCTGTGACTCGAGTGATATCCAATATCAGGGCTGGTGGGAAAAATGAACAAATTATCGTTTGACGATTTAAAATGTATTCCATTTTTACTTTTTTATTCCATAAAAAGAGTCAACAAAAAGAGTCAAACGTACATTTTGTTGTATTGTTAGATCCAGTCGCTATTAAAAGGTTTTGTTATATTCCTACTATGATATCTTACAAAACACTGCTTTATCCAGAGAACGCACAAACTATAATATCATGTTACACTCGCTACAGTCCCCTAATCAGTAATTACTATACAAGAAACTATATTATTATATATATATATATATAATAATTTATCCGCAGCCTCCATTTAAATGCTTGTTATCTTGAGGTAATAGCTAGTAGTATATAAAAAACAATAATAGATAATAGCTACACAACAACAACAACAAGCTTTTAGATAATAGCTACACAACAACAACAACAACAAGCTAGAAGATAATAGATATTAGCTTGTAGCACCTCATATAATATATCTGTCCTGGTATTGTTAATACCGTGCACACTCCAGATATGTATAATAACATAAACCCGCCACGCAAAGGGTTTATATAACAGATCATCCCGCGCTAGCGGGATGATCTGATAAACACATACGAGTGCGCGCAGCGCACGAGTTTTGTGTTAATATGTAATCCCGAAGCGCCAGCTGAGGGATTACATTTATTTAGCCCTGAGCGTGAAGTGTTTATGGATTATAATTATCTCCGGCGATTTCGACAAGGGATTTATACTTTAGAAGAGAGTGATAAAATAGTTTTTACTGTACTGTCCGGAACACGATTGGAAAGCAGTTCATCAATCTGAATGTCAAACCGATCTGTCATAGTGGAGCAATAGCTTGAACGTTAGCAGGAACAAGAGCTGGAAGGAGAGCAAGCAAAACAATACTATTTTTAGGGCACGGACAAGGGTAGCTGGCTAGTCGCCAACTTCTCACGCCACGCGTTGGAGAAATTCCAAGAATTAGCTGCTTTGGCAACGTTCCCAGGAATTTGCGTGTAAAAGAAGTGGACGGTTACGATGTTTCATATCACGTGGTGCGCTTTCGTGTCACGTGGTATAGACTCGTGGTACGCGCCCACGTGATCGCGCGTCTTACTGTTCTACTATTATCGAGTTCTAATCAGCAGTATCATTGATTATTGTAAGTCGGAGAATTGAATGATAAACATCAGTTACCACTAAAAAGCGGGCCGGGTTTATACAAATTTCCGGGGCGGGATGATATCACCTTGAGATGTTTATCTAACAGCGGGCCGGGCTGAGTGATAATATGATCCCGCGTCGAAATCCCGGAGATATTTATATCCTGCACATTGCCCATTGCTCAGTGTGAACGTCTCAAACAATAAAACAAGTTTCAGTAGGATGATCAGAAGATTAGATAGTAACAGACAGGCACGTAGCCAGGACCCCCCCACCCCCTGGCTACGTGCCTGGTAACAGAGTATGATGATTGCTGAAGGGCAGAGGAAACGTTCAATTTGGCAAATTTGGACAACAATTGTGTCCTTGTCCAAGTATATGAGTACAAGACTTAAAGTTCAACGAAAGAGAATCATAAACTGCGAATAGTGAAAAATATGGGGCAATTATATATTATGGAAATGGGGAGAACTGGAAAATCTGAAACAGATAATTAAAATAGAAAACAAAAAAACTAAATGCAAAAAAAGGACTGCACATGATTACAATGCTGTCGAAATTATTTTGATCTTCCGACTTCTGGAAGCAACAAGAACAGAACAATAGAAGTCCTGTTAAAAATACTAAATACTGAGCTGAATTTGGTAATAATTTGGTAAGTACTCATGACAATAGATGTACAGGAAGATCACTAACACATCACAACAACGTGCTTAGTGACGTCACAACAACGTGCTTAGTGACATCAAAACAACGTGCTTAGTGACGTCACAACAACGTGCTTAGTGACGTCACAACAACGTGCTTAGTGACATCACAACAACGTGCTTAGTGACGTCACAACAACGTGCTTAGTGACGTCAAAACAACGTGCTTAGTGACGTCACAACAACGTGCTTAGTGACGTCACAACAACGTGCTTAGTGACGTCATAACATTTATATTGTAACATGCCAAATATCTACTCAACATTAAGATTAGGAACAATAACTTTCCAGGTTCATGCCTCATGGTCGTGATATCATCGGACAATTTGGTGATTGTGAACTACTCACAATTCAATACTGGAATTATTTCACAATGACCAAAGCAAAAGTGGCTTTGTTTTTATCAACACGTGCTCGTCAAGCATCTATACTCCGTGAGTTGTATCTTTAATTATTTGTAATTATTTATAATTTTCCAGCTAGATTAATTACTCATATAATTACTCACACACTAATCGAGCTTCAGCTCTGTACTAAGAGGTACGGTTGTGAGCGAGCCAACAATTAGCAAACCGAGCAACCTTAGCCAGAAGTAGCCAGAATAAAGCCAACTTTAGCCAGAATTTACACTAACGTCATCCTAGAAACAATCCGTATTCCAGCCAGAAAAGTTCGCAGCTACTCTAAATAGATGTAGAAGAAACCTAAGAACGAATCAGTCCAAAATTCAGGCCCAGTCCAATTAACACATTAGACGAAACTAAATGTCTGTACAGTAGATACTGTATCTACATAGGTAATCTAGCTGATAATCTGTAGATGGTGATGTCGTGATTATTATAGTAACCATGGTTACACGTCATAGTAACAATTGTGAACAGATCAGAATCCAGATTAGAATTTAAATTAGAATTTAGATTAGAATCCAGATCAGAATCCAGATTAGAATCCTAATCCAGGTTAGAATCTAGTAAACAAATCAATAATCACACTCGATATCTTTGAATTGACTTGTTTCTCCAACAAAAATCAAGTAAGACAAGAATTCTTGGATTATCAAATTAAATCCACAAATAAATCTATAAAACCATTTAAAAGTAACCCATGAAAAACAAAGAAAGGAGAAAAACGATCAGCCATACAGTCCAGACTGAACAAAGTTCAGACCGGTGAGATAATAAAAGAGGAGACATAATAAAAGAAACATTTTAAAAGTTTAAGGAAGGGGGGTGCGTATTTCTTGACAAAATGAACAAAAAATCGTCCTCCCCCTGAAATAACCGCTAGCTGCAGATCATGACGCTGCACACGCTGAGGTTAGCTAAAATAGCTGCTGTGATAGAGACAGCTGTATAAAGGACAACGATTACATCCCCACTTATTAATAGTAAGTAGCAACAGTAAAACATGGTAATAATACTGTCGTTGTTGCAGTGGTGGAATTTAGGTTAGATTAAAATCCCAATTTTATTATAGATTTACGTCTGTTATTCTGTAATCTGTGAAAGTATTCAGAAGTAACCCGTGAAAAACAATGGAAGGAAAATTACGCAATTTCTGATTTGAGTGGTTCACGAACATGAGAGTGCAGAGAAAACCACTAAGAACCGCTAGAAAAATTAGTGAGATGAATGAACTGGTCCACACTCCGCTATGTGAGGGTGGGACAAGGTTACATCGGCGCTTAGTAGCGAGTATTAGTTAGAAGTCACTGCAGCTGCTTGGGGCCTAGTAATTGGTCATACCAGATCTCAGATTTGAGAATGAGTTTGTCGACTTTCCTGGAAACTTTTCTCAAGAATACTAAAAAATAATTTTTGAGAACGAGAATTTGGCCAAAAATACTCATGACCCACAAAATGAAGTTGACGATGCACCACACCTACCACGAGCAGTGAGGAACTAATGCGGCGAGAGGTAAAAGCAATTTGATTCAGGGTAACAACAATTATAAGCCTAATTGTGGTATAGGTAGTTCACCATACAAATTGTAATGTGCTAGGGGGACCAGGTAATCTAGTGAACTAAACGGATATGAATCATACGTAAGATTACATGGTCCCTCTCTCACTCGGTCAATCTCCTAATTATGGTTTAACGTTTTGAGGGTATATCATTAGAACACACTACTGGGGTTGGTAATCATTAGATTGCAGAAATATAGGCGGACACCTTATACCTTAGAGTTAAACGTTATATTCCTTACCCCCCCAGTTCCATGGCCGGATATTATGCCAAATTATTAGACGGATATCGTCTACTGATATTTCTTCGGATATTTCTCCGGTTTGCAGTTCCATAACCTTATCCGGAGACCATATACGGTAATTTTGTTGATTCTCACAGATGGAGCAAAGTGCAAAGAAACTGCCACAAACTGCTACAATCTCCGAGAAATTCCCGGAGAGATTCATCTCCGTCTAATACAGTAGACGGAGCCGGAGAATCATCACCGTAGAAATGGACGTCCGTCTAATAATTTGGCATAATATCCGCTATGGAACTGGGGGGTTAGAGTTAAACGTTATATTCCTTATGAGATAATATATTATATATTATATATATAATATATATCGTGAAGACTCACTGAAGCTGTTAAGTTGATAAAACCTGGCGCTGTGTATTACTCGGTATTATTATGAAGGTAATGATTTGTGTGGTAAAGAGATCCTGGTTCAGTGTGACACCAGTGTGACACCAGTGTGACACCAGTGTGACACCAGTGTGATACACAAAATGACTTTTCAGACTTAGTAGAATTTAGCAGTTAATCTCTTCAGATTTCAGAATATGCCCGGTATTTAGCAGTATTGGGCGGAGATGATGAGAGCGTGTGTGAGTGCTGTAACCTTGATAACTAGATGTTAGAGAAATGATGTCAGTTGTAGAAGAGAGCGTGAAGGATTGTATTATGGGATATGATGTAATATAACGCATATTATGTTAGATTATGTGCAAGTTATTATGTCATGTAGTTCATACATATTATGTATTTTATACGAATACACTGTCATAACATTCATATAATATTCATTATTAGAGCTTTTCATCTAGAAGTGAAAGAAATTCCTCATATTATGGTGCAACGCGAACGGTGTGGAATATCTACAATTGGTTAAAACCTTACCATCCCATTACATAGCACTCAATAAATTTAATAGATTTGTAATGTTGAAACTAGTTTACATACAATCACATCATTGGTTATGAGCAATATGCATACTAAAAGCCGTAATGCCATGAGATTATGTGTGTTGTAAAGCACAATGAATAATGTTGAGTATTGGAGTATGTGGTGCTCCTAGCAGTAGGGGGTTCATCCCATGTAAAGTAATATATACACTTAAGTCTTAACAATGTTAATATACACTTAACAATGTTATAATATATGCTTAATAATATTAATATATACTTAATAATGTTAATACATACTTAATAATGTTAATATATACTTAATAATGTTAATGACAGAACAGAGAGCGGAGGTAAACAGATGACTGGATTACTGAATAGTATTGTATTATTATAGTGGAGATGGTGGACAGTGAGATGTAATCTGTGTCAGCTATTGGGGGATGTTTCTGGGGACAATACGGTGGGATAAGTTGGTGTTGATAAATTATTTTTTGTATCGAAATTATTGATGTTTGCCTACAAAATGATATCATCATTGACCGAAACAAAAAGTGATTTGTTTTATGTGTTTGTTATCAAACAAAACCCGATCTTCTGTGTGGTGAAATGTTAAAAGCAACGTTAAATTTTTATAAAAATGACCAAAATGAAAGTTAAAAATCGTTAAAATGTCATTTAGATAAATCTAAACGGTGTTTAAACTTTTAAAATGTTAATTAAGATGACTTGTCTACATGTAAATTCAAAACAACAAAAGGTTTAAAACTATAGCTATGCTTGTGGTTATTACTCACCCTTAATATCATCTGTGGTTAAAATGTGCATATTTTGTAAATAATTGTAAATTATTTGTACAGTTTTAAGTGAAGTGACGCAAAACGTGGTCGGAATTCCAATAAGGCCATTTCTTATATATAAATATAATATAGATATAATAAATTTAATATATATAATATACAAATAAACGTAAAACAGCAGATGCTTCTACTACTGGCTGACAACCCATAGACAACCCATGTAGATGGAAATATTTTGTTCACCAAACTGTTGATAAAACTTTAAATTGAAATATAATCTAAATTTAAAAAGAGTTTACTCACGTATAGAAGTCGTCAGATTTTCATTAGCCTGAAATTAAAAGTAAATTAAGTTATTATTATTTCTATTGATAATGTATGGAGGTGACCTAAAAGAGGAGACTTTTGAAAAAATGAGCTAGAAAATTAAGAGAGCTCAATAGAGGGTGAGAAAAGTTTGCGATTGTCACATTTACATACGACTAATAAAAACAAAATTAACAGACAATATTTGTGCACCGGGTAAAGTGTTCAGCTATTCACAATTATAATAAGTCTAACCAGCCCCCACTATGCACCAACTATACTCATCACAATTACACTGTAATTATTCCGAGTAAATTCTAATTATTCCTAGAACGTCCCTCGTCCCGATGACAAAACTATAGTTAACAATGAAAAGAAGAGACATATGAGCACTAGACCGAGAAACCGACACAAAACGAATTAAAGACCTTAATATTCCATTTTCCAAGAAAGACCGTCAATAATAATATGATAATTCCCAAATTTACAGTTTTCAATATACAGGACCAGGAGTTGCCGGAGGTGTAGTACTACTAGTACTCATTTATATGGTTTGAGTTGTATGTGGCCGGGACCTACTCGTCAGTGGCCATGCACTTACTTATACCAAACATGGGAGTAGGGTAGAGAAATAAGGGATCTATCAATTTATTTAGTACTTATTCCTAATAGAGTACAGTTATTTCAGACCCAAAATCGGTATATTTTTGCCACATTGCTCTCGAAATAGAACATTACGTGGCAACAAAATATCAATAACGGTATCAATGGGTGCAAGAGAAACGAGAAACAATCCCTCACAGTCACTAGTATAACAACCAACCCAGACTGGTTAAGGATAACCTTGCGGGGAATAGTGGCTGTTATTTGCAACAGAGCCGGGGGCTGGGATAGAGCCGGGGGCCGGAATAGAGCCGGGGGCTGGGATAGAGCCGGGGGCTGGGATAGAGCCGGGGACCGGGTGAGAGCCGGGGGCTGGGTGAGAGCCGGGGGCTGGGATAGAGCCGGGGGCTGGGATAGAGCCGGGGGCTGGGATAGAGCCGGGGGCTGGGATAGAGCCGGGGGCTGGGATAGAGCCGGGGGCTGGGATAGAGCCGGGGGCTGGTATAGAGCCGGGGGCTGGTATAGAGCCGGGGGCTGGGACAGAGCCGGGGGCTGGGATAGAGCCGGGGGCTGGGATAGAGCCGGGGGCTGGAATAAAGCCGGGGACCGGGTGAGAGCCGGGGGCTGGGTGAGAGCCGGGGGCTGGGATAGAGCCGGGGGCTGGGACAGAGCCGGGGGCTGGGATAGAGCCGGGGGCTGGGATAGAGCCGGGGGCTGGAATAAAGCCGGGGACCGGGTGAGAGCCGGGGGCTGGGTGAGAGCCGGGGGCTGGGATAGAGCCGGGGGCTGGGATAGAGCCGGGGGCTGGGATAGAGCCGGGGACCGGGTGAGAGCCGGGGGCTGGGTGAGAGCCGGGGGCTGGGATAGAGTCGGGAGCTGGGATAGAGCCGGGGGCTGGGATAGAGCCGGGGCTGGGATAGAGCCGGGGGCTGGGATAGAGCCGGGAGCTGGGATAGAGCCGGGGGCTGGGATAGAGCCGGGGGCTGGGATAGAGCCGGGGGCTAGGATATAGCCAGGGGCTGGGATAGAGCCGGGGGCTGGGATAGAGCCGGGGGCTGGGATAGAGCCGGGGGCTGGGATAGAGCCGGGGGCTGGGATAGAGCCGGGGGCTGGGATAGAGCCGGGGGCCGGGTGAGAGCCGGGGGCTGGGATAGAGCCGGGGGCTGGGATAGAGCCGGGGGCTGGGATAGAGCCGGGGGCTGGGATAGAGCCGGGGGCTGGGATAGAGCCGGGGGCTGGGATAGAGCCGGGGGCCGGGAGAGAGCCGGGGGCTGGAATAAAGCCGGGGACAGGGTGAGAGCCGGGGGCTGGCCGCTGGGATAGAGCCGGGGACCGGCCGCTGGGATAGAGCCGGGGGCTGGGATAGAGCCGGGGGCTGGGATAGAGCCGGGGGCTGGGATAGAGCCGGGAGCTGGGATAGAGCCGGGGCCGGGTGAGAGCCGGGGGCTGGGATAGAGCCGGAGACCGGGTGAGAGCCGGGGGCTGGGATAGAGCCGGGGGCTGGGATAGAGCCGGGGGCTGGGATAGAGCCGGGGGCTGGGATAGATGTTGAATCATTACTGTTCCGCGGTTCCGACTAATTTGAATTAAGATTAGTCAGCTTGGTGACGCTTGTTTGTTTGGAGTTGGTTGTATATGACACGGTGGATTATTGTTTGGGATTCTCAGTTTAACATCATTTAAAAGTGGATAGAGAACGTGGGTGTTTGTTTGGGGCTGTGTTTTGTGTTCATACCAGGAGGAAGTTGTTGTTGTTCCGTTTACATTTTACATACAGGTAAATGCCCCGTACAAAATTCCTAGACCCTTCTATTACTCCTCTTCTGGACAAGTTTAACTGTTCCCTTCACAGCTTCTCTTATGGGAACCCCTTCAAGGACATCGTCCCTTCACAGCTTGTGGGCTATTTACGTGGGCTATTTAAAAATTAGCTCGCGATTTTCACGTCATGGCTAATTAATCATGCATGAACACAGAGCAGGACGGAAACCAAATAAAAACAGAGAAAAATAACTTAATAGTGCAAAGAACTAAAAAAGAGGGAGACCTGAAACGAACTAAAGGCTGGTAAATATGTTAAGTTCGCATTAACAAACAGAAGTGTAACAAATGTGGGAAGTAATCGAAACAGAAAATGAAGCTGGCTACATATTCTGCACCCCCGGATGCAATAAATATCTTTAAACAATGGGGATATTTACCCCGCTGTAAACTTTCATATCTTTCATAATCCAACATAATTCAACATAATATGCGCACCTTTGCTTACACAGATCTATTATGCTCCCACCCTATCAATTATTACGCTGTAAAATGTTTAGCTTGACAAAAGAAGGAGTGGTCAAGTTTTCTGCTGAAAAATATTCCAATTTTCAGTTCTGAGCAGCTCAGTGTCACCGATTGAGTAACGCAATGTGTCGATCGTCAGAACAGTGAGACGTTGGAATAGTCTAGTCACTACTGGTTCACCGTTCAGACAGAGGATTTATTAGTCCTAATTACTAAGATAAGTTAGCCAACTTCTTAGCCCTGACTTCCTTATCTCATGTACATTCAACTACCTCTCAGAACTAGAGTGGACAGGGCTAATTTAAATTAAATTAAAAGATAAGCACACAGATCTGTGTAGTGTAAATCAGTAGCCCAAAGTGGACACGCCCGTTAAGTGGCTGATAAAAGGAATTACCGAGCATTGCCGATGTGTTAGTAAATAGCAAAATGTAAATACTCTTGCTAACACTTACAAAAAGCTAATTTCTGTTAGCGCAGCAACACGTGCAAAGAGCTTGTGTTAGCGCAGCAACACGTGCAAAGAGCTTGTGTTTTAGGGACTGTGAAGTGCTTGTTAGGTGAAAACGGGAAAGCAATTATTTCGTCAACAATGAAATGTGATCATAGATCTATCAGATCTAAAAATTAAAAAAGTAAGTAAAAAAGGGCCGGACTGGGTATGATACTATTGAATAAGAAGTAAAACGAACCGCCCTTTCGTTTATCAAGCGATTTAATGAACTTATAAATTTACGAGGCCCCGTACAGGCTTTGACACAGACCAGCCCGCTTACCCAAGAATTCAACAAAGATTATTACATGTATGATTACATTCGTTTGAAGGATAATCGTGCGACTTGTCACTTTCTCTCTGACGTAACGCAATAATGACTGTGAGAATATTCTCAACTGGCATCCAGGGCGAAACACATATTTCAGATTTTCACACCAAGAACTATGAGAAAAGGCACATTCCTGAAGGTGCATTGCCTACTACATTTAAGGTTCGTGATATACATTGACTTATCCAAAACCGAAAGCACCTCATTCGGGTAGAAAAGAGGTTATGTGTTTACCCTCTCCTGCCTCCTGTGATTAAGTTAGACATTGTTTGAATACCGCTTGATAAAGAGAAGGGGAGATGTAGGCGCCGTGACTGACATTTTAGATTACTCTGCCCACTAATTATCTCTGTACGATTGTTGAAGCGGTGCCGCTAGGCTTCATCAAAATGCAAAACTAGTTTGAGACAAAACATACTCACAGCCCACACATTTACATGAAATCATAAGGGAGTATAACATTCAATTGACTTTACATATGCATCTGAATTTAACATTGACACATCGAGTTTAATGTAGTATGTACACTGAAAACACACTAACTACTAAGCATGAAAACGTGACACTCTTCTTAATAACCGTTGCAATCTGGAAGCTGGTCGAAACCGAAACCGATTCCCAAAGAACGCGCACATGCAATTATACTGCGCGCAATTTGCGCAATATAATAACATCATGCACAGCTAGCTTGACGTTCAAATGCCATCAATAAACTAGCAATAGCTCGCGTCTTCCAGCCAGTCGGTGAAAAGCATCTTAATTTAGAATTGCGCAAGTATGCTGGTTGCTAATCAGACTTAAGGGACATTGGCTGCAGTGTGCGTCACCATCACTTTGAGCTGACGTTACATGATTTATCTTGCCTTATAAGAATCGTATACGCTGCCCTTATACGCAATTAAATCTGTTTTCGTAGCATTTTCTCAGGACCCACCCTTTGCGACGGCGTATATAGCATACAACTTTAAATGGCAGTAATAATAAGTGTTCAGGAATCTAGACTCCTAATTTTGTTTAAATATTATTTCCGGTTACTAACAGAATCCCTCCTCTGTAAAAATAATTACATTCATAGAAACCTCCTATGTTGTAACCTCATACGCACTGTGTTATGGTAGTTAAGCCCACAAAATTGAATTACGATTTTTTGTGGAAGTAAATGATCCTTCTATTAAGCCTCCCTTTTGAAATTGAACTATGAACAGGCTTCGTTTATCTAAAATTCGATTAATTAAGATATATTTGATAATAAAATGGAAGAAATAAAATCCCAGAAATTTGACAAGGGATACTCTGATACATGATACCCAATACTCAAGATAAAATTATAGGTAAAGTATAAAGTAGTATATCTGATATATAACTATATAATGGAGGATAAGTACAGCTGCATGTAGTTAGTATACCCATAAGAATGCGACACGTGCACGTTGTTGACAGCCACGACTGTTTCCCCCAATATGTCATCACATTATATTCAGTAATATGCACGCTTTCTAGCTACGTTAAAATCTAACGCTGTTACAAAAACAGAAAAGTTAAAACAATTAACAATATCTGCAGTGAATGTTCTGAAGAATCAAAACTCTGACACTAAACAAATACCACGCGTATAAATGACCAAATAAGGAGCGAGGTTTGCAGTTTTATATTCTCAGCAGCAACGATATCTGCAGTATTGGGGTGTTTAAATTTTAAATGGCTTCTGAACGTAAAGCTAAGACAAGGAGATAATATCTGCTCTTTTCAACAAGCATTTATTTCAGTTGGTGAAACCATATTGCACGATGTTGCCGAAGCCATTTCTTTCCTTGGCAGGGTAATTATGGCATAGCTAAAAAAGGATCAGGTAAACTTATGTGTAAGGTTTTGTCAAGACAGCATGAATTCACAGTTGGGCGGCCCAACTGTGAATTCATGCTGTCTTGACAAAACCTTACAGTTAGCTTCTGTTAAAAACATCCCATGATCTCGAAACTTCTCGTAGCTGGCTTACTTGAAAGATCGGGAAGTGTGAACTATCACTGATGCTATTTCCGTATGGACCTCGTCTTATATGTCCTTCTGTGATATGATTGCAAGATACAATGTAGCATTCTCATGACACACCTCACGTCCTCACGTCAAGTTAATACCTACGTCATACCAATCCAGATTCTATAACAACTGAACATTGCACGTGGGACTTGTTATTGCTATATTGTGATACCTAAGTGTTAAGTGTATCCTGCAGGAATGTTATCGCAACGCCAATAAGCTGATAGCATGTGACACGTCACTAGATCAGGATTGTAAACCTCAAGGCTTCGACAAGGCTAGTAAATAAAGGGTAATGCTTTTATGACACCGTAGCCATAGTGCCGCCAAAGTGCCGCCATAGTGCCACAACAGTGCCACGAGAGTGCCACGAGAGTGCCACGAGTGCCGTCGGGATCCGGATGTATGACACATAATTCGACAGAATGATGTGATTTTAATGGATTCTTTTTTTCGAGAATTCGTAAGAATAATATCATCTAATGATTGAACGAGAAGAATGCTTTTAGTTTTCTAGAAGGCTACCGACTGGCTGCTTTTTATAGTTTCTGTGATTGCTTGCCGTCAATAGCGAGAATAATAAACCGGTTATATTCTTGACTATTATATCATAGTCTTTCGTATTATTTCATTATATTTCATTATATTTCGTATTATTTCGTATTATTTCTTTATATTTCATTATATTTCTTACTGTATTATTATATTTCCTATATTACATTATTACATTTCCTTAATAAATGTTAACCGTCAGATTATATCGAGAGATTCGAATAGCGAATACAATCTCCTCCTCATAATATAATAACATTGGAATAGACGTGCCGCAATATACAAATATTATACAAGGACTAAAATACACGAGTGTACATTGCTTGGATATACACAGTGTCAATACACACTCTCTCTATCTCTCTCTCTCTCTCTCTCTCTCTCTCTGAAAGTTTATCAAGAGTAAAAAGTGTAAGCCAAACTCAATGTCACATCTTGTTATGAGTCACGTGCACTTATCAGGGAACTAGATTTTTTAATCTTTATTTTTTATTTGAGAAGCCAGAATAATATTTACACATCTGCATTCTGCAAGTAGTGGCTGGTAAAAGGAGTGGCTTTGCAAATAACCACCAGAAATATATTATGTAAGTAAATTAAAATAACGGAAATGGTATATAATTATAAATTACATAATACATATATATATATTATATAATCATGATTTGTATGATAAAATCACACAATAGAATTACACATAATAACACAATGTAATGTGTAATACACATAGATTGTGTATGTTTGTTGTGGTACAGGTTTTGCGTGTTGTATTGCTTTACACCGTTCTAATGTAAAGATTAGTAAAGTACAAAGGAATATATTTATAAAAGTATAAAGGAAGTAAATAGAACGAGTCTGACTAGTTAAAAGAGGAGGAGGAAATGTCAAATGAGTAGCACTGCCCGATAATCACTGACTACGGATCGTCTACCCCGTACCAATGTTTTCTAACGAAGGAGGACGAGGGAGATACCCCGTACCAATGTTTTCTAACGAAGGAGGACGAGGGAGATACCCCATACCAATGTTTTATAACGAAGGAGGACGAGGGAGATACCCCGTACCAATGTTTTCTAACGAAGGAGGACGAGGGAGATACCCCGTACCAATGTTTTCTAACGAAGGAGGACGAGGGAGATACCCCGTACCAATGTTTTCTAACGAAGGAGGACGAGGGAGATACCCCGTACCAATGTTTTCTAACGAAGGAGGACGAGGGAGATACCCCGTACCAATGTTTTCTAACGAAGGAGGACGAGGGAGATACCCCGTACCAATGTTTTCTAACGAAGGAGGACGAGGGAGATACCCCGTACCAATGTTTTCTAACGAAGGAGGACGAGGGAGATACCCCGTACCAATGTTTTCTAACGAAGGAGGACGAGGGAGATACCCCGTACCAATGTTTTCTAACGAAGGAGGACGAGGGAGATACCCCGTACCAATGTTTTCTAACGAAGGAGGACGAGGGAGATACCCCGTACCAATGTTTTCTAACGTAGGAGGACGAGGGAGATATCCCATACCAATGTTTTCTAACGAAGGAGGACGAGGGAGATACCCCGTACCAATGTTTTCTAACGTAGGAGGACGAGGGAGATCTCACATAATACAGGGAGAAACACAGCTCACAAGGCTTTACTCTCTAGGGCAAAGGAGCTGGTCGTTCAGTATGTCATAATACATACATTAAAGGTACATTATATAATATTAATATACAGTATATCATCTCTACTATAGTTCAGAGAATTATTTTTGTCTGTCTGTATGTCTGTACGACCGCCCACGTGCAAATAAGATGAAAAATAGGAATTTAGGTAACAACCAAAACGTTCCATAGCAACGGTGTTTTAATGTACACATGCACGTAATTACGTTGTGTTTAAAGTTTTTTATATTTAAATCGGCCGTATCTTCGGTTGGGATGGATATTTTTTGATGCGATTAAAACTTTCTTTCAAGAAATACTACTAGCTTCGTCCCTGTTACCACGGGCTTTCTAGTATATAATAATATACATTATATTTAAGTACACTTTAAAATGATCGGTTACTCGATCTAGGACTAGAGTAACCTAGACTTAGTCGTGATGCAGATGGTAGATACGCGTGCGTATCATGTTAATAAAATGGATAGCGAGCAAGGAAAACAAACACACCAGCTCTAGAATAGACTAATAGAATAATAAGAACGTATAGAGGCAACTTGTACGAACACCGATGGGACATTAAGACAACATTAAGACAACATTAAGACAACAATAAGACAACATTAAGACAACATTAAGACAACAATAAGACAACGTTAACGCAACAAACACCAATAAGACAACAAACGATAAGACAACATTAAGACAACATTAAGGCAACATTAAGGCAACATTAAAGCAAACATTAAGACAACATTAAGACAACATTAAGACAACATTAAGGCAACAATAAGACAACAATAAGACAACAATAAGACAAGATTAAGACAACAAACACCGATAAGACAACAAAATAAGATAAAATATTAAGACAACATTAAGACAACATTAAGACAACATTAAGACAACATTAAGACAACAAACTCAATTAAGACAACATTAAGACAACATTAAGACACTAAACTCATTCAAGACAACATTAAAACAACAAATTCTTTAAAACAACATTAAGACAATCTAGGTAAACTATAGGTAAAAATATAATATGTATTAATCATAAGCTAAAATGTACTAATCTTTGTATTCTAAATGGGGAAAAGAAGAAACATTGTCAGTCAGTCGATAAAATTGTCAGTCAGGCTATATGGCAGCTTTATAGTTGTGACAATGCTAGTAGTGGCTTGCGACTGGAATTGCGGTGTTTAAACTCGTTAAATGCAACATTAATGCAACAAAATGTTTAGAATATGTAATATACGGCCGGGATTTCATTGCCGCAGTTAAAAAGGGTAGCATTATTACACACACAGATTTTTGAAATTATCTGTTAAGATACTTTGGACAGCTAGTTAAAAGTCGGAAATTTAAATTGATGTTAAATTGATACTGAAATAACTGGATTACAATATAGAATAAAACAAATATCTTAATAACGAGTTTTAGGCTTCAGGGCGTTTCCTTGAGCATAAAGGCGAGTTAGGTCTCTATGTTTTCTGTTGCAGATATCTTTTGCCGCTGGGTATACGGTTTGGAGCGTTACTTTACGGAGCTGCAGGAACGAGCTCTCAAGGGATTGTCTGACGTCTGTCCACGAGTGCTGCTTCTGCAATGCACGGAATGTCTACAGTACTGCTTGGATATCGGAATGCTGCGACCTTTCCAAACTTGTGAAGAGTGCAACAATTTTATGACCTTGAAGAAATGCCCAACGAGCAAGTACACAGACGGCTACTGCTGGCAGTGTTCAGACACTTCTTCAGACATCGACCACTTCTGCTCAGTGAGAACCGGGAGTATCCTCCACAAACGCAAGCTACCCTTCTCCGTATTCCTCCACATCATCTGGCTGTTCTGCAACCGACTGAGCGTCTGCGACGTAGCACGGATCATAACCATCAGCACCGGCTGTGTACGGTCCATCTTCTCCTCGATCCGAAATTGCATGCTTGAAGACCTGTTCGACAACGGTGCACGCAGAAAGATTGGTGGGGTCGGCTGTACAGTGGAGGTTGACGAATCCAAATTCGGTAAACGAAAATATAACAGAGGTCGACGTGTAGTCGGAAAATGGGTGCTGGGTGGGTTCTGTAGGACTACTGGCGAATGCTTCTTAGTGGAGTGTACCGGCAATCGACGCGATCACAACACCCTGATCACACTCATCAAGGAGCACGTTCTACCGGGTACAACTATTCTCACCGACAAGTGGAAAGGGTATAACGCCCTGCAACACCACGGATTTCCTCATCAAGTTGTCAAAATCGAGGATTTGTGGACCCGGTCACTGGTGTTCACACCAACAGCTGCGAAGGGATGTGGTTCCACGCTAAGAACCACATGAGAAGAGGAACCGGTCGTACCCGAACGGATTCAGCAGCCATGACTGTAGCCCTGTCAGAATTTATGTGGTGTAAGCGATACGGACTGACAAGAGACAACGCGTCCGTGAGGAAAGCCTTCAACCAAGATATCCCAGCCCTATTCAGAAGAATTTTTGATTAATTTATTGCTCTGTAAATTTGTATTACCTGATAAATAATGAGACCTAATTATTTCATTTTCATAGTTTAAGTCACAATTTCGTATTACTCTAACTCAGTTGATGAAGTAAAATATAATTTGACAAAGTAAAATATATTCGAAGAAATAGTGTTATACTGTTATGTATAACAGTATAACACTATTTCTGTTATACATGATTATTATGTATACATAATAATCATGTATAACAGTATAATTTGTTGTCTTAAACGAATTTGTTGCTTTAATGTTGCCTTAATGTTGCCTTAATGATGCCTTAATGTTGTCTTAATGTTGTCTTATCGTTTGTTGTCTTATCGGTGTTTGTTGCGTTAATGTTGTCTTAATGTTGTCTTATTGGTGTCTTAATGTTGTCTTATTTTTGTGTTAATGTGTCTTATTGTTGTCTTAATGTTGTCTTATTGTTGTCTTAATGTGTCTTAATGTTGTCTTATTGTCCCATCGGTGTTCGTTCTAGTTGCCCGTATAGATAATAATAATATTGTATTGTGAGTGGTTGGAATACGGCAAGCAGGAACCTAAGAGGTTGAAAAGCCATGTTGTACGTAACATGACGCAGATCACCATACGATAACAACCCATCAAGATTACAATGCTCCTTCGTAAAATGTTTATATAACAATTATCATTGTGATTCTGGTGACTGGATGAGTTCAAACACTGACACATCGTGACGAAGCGTGACGCGAGCTAACAAGCTAACAGTCTTCAGACTGTTTGAGGTTGTCTGATTACGGAGCAAAGTGGCGAGTTTGCAAGTAAAGTCTTGCGGAGTAAAGTGGCTAGCACGGGTAAGCGCTTCTTTCATCTGACCGTCAAAGTTGTGAACTATTTTACCAGTAATTTTACTGGGCGAACTGGGGATTGTCATGAGATGGCAGAAGCGGGAGCTTTTTGCCTGCGGTTAATTATCAAAACTAGAGCCTGTTCCAAGTTAAATGTTATGTTTCACCAAAATTGGTGACATCCTTTAAGTATCACTATATTCTGTGTTACTTTCGGACTTTGCTATTATATATACGCTCATTACACGATAGGTTGTATTATGCCACAATATCTTGGGCTTTCATCATGACTCAAGTTTAAGCTATTTTTTAAGGATTAAAAACAGCAATGCCCATCGATGACCATGCCCATTTGGACAAAAGTTAAGGAATAAATGGGCAATGCGGTTGCCCAATGCCCCCCCCCCCCTCCTCCCTATCTTAGTCGACCTTTACCAAGCCGTACAAATTCCATTCTACCAGGAATTACTCTGTTTTAAGTTATCAGGGAAGGCCCTAACCTGCCGTGAAACGCACTATATAGTATGTTTTCAAGGGTTTCTAGATTGTAGTGGTCGCTTGATACTTTCAAACAACATTATAACAACTGCAACATTATAACAACTACTAAACCAAAACGGGGCAAAATTAAAACCTCATGGAGATACTGTTGGAAGAAAACACGCACTATGTTGAAACTGATGTGATGATCCTCCAAGGTTAGACAAAAGTTAAATACTGTGGGGATATATCTATATTATATACTAATTTGTTGTTCAACACACAGGTAGAACATCAACAAACACCGCTCCGAATGATGTGGGGATGTGTGTAAGTAGCTACCCTCAGCTTCTCGTATGATCCCCTGGAATTCCTCAATTCCATTATATGAATATCTTGAACTTAAAAACCTGGCTCGAGTCCAGCACGGAAATAATATTAACTTATTTCATGAATATTTTACTCGCAAGTTTTATGCTGTGTAATTTATGCGCACCTTCATTTTGCGATTTATTTGAGACCAACCAGGCAGCCGCGGGATCCATCAGACTTTGTTCGTTAATGTAAATTTAAAACTCTTGAAACGAGTTAAATAGCTTCTTAGATTTACTGAATTCAACACACACGCAGGTGTGCAGTGTTATGTCACGAAACTGAGCACTCGGTTTAGAACGTGTTTTAGAGAGAACTTTAGAGAGAACTTTAGAGGGAACATTAGAGACAACTTTAGAGAGAACATTAGAGAGAACTTTAGAGAGAACGTTAGAGAGAACTTTAGAGGGAACATTAGAGGGAACTTTAGAGAGAACTTTAGAGAGAACTTTAGAGAGAACTTTAGAGAGAACTTTAGAGAGAACTTTAGAGAGAACTTCAGAGAGAACTTTAGAAGGAACATTAGAGAGAACTTTAGAGAGAACTTTAGAGAGAACTTTAGAGAGAACTTTAGAGAGAACTTTAGAGAGAACTTTAGAGAGAACTTTATAGAGAACTTTAGAGAGAACTTCAGAGAGAACTTTAGAGAGAACTTTAGAGAGATCTTTAGAGAGAACTTTAGAGAGAACTTTAGAGAGAACTTTAGAGAGAACTTTAGAGAGAACTTTAGAGAGAACTTTAGAGAGAACTTTATAGAGAACTTTATAGAGAACTTTAGAGAGAACTTCAGAGAAAACTTTAGAGAGAACTTTAGAGAGAACTTTAGAGAGAACTTTAGAGAGAACTTTAGAGAGAACTTTAGAGAGAACTTTAGAGAGAACTTTAGAGAGAACTTTAGAGAGAACTTTAGAGAGAACTTTAGAGAGAACTTTAGAGAGAACTTTAGAGAGAACTTTAGAAGGAACATTAGAGAGAACTTTAGAGAGAACTTTAGAGAGAACTTTAGAGGGAACTTTTCAACTTTAGAGAGAACTTTAGAGAGAACTTTAGAGGGAACTTGAGAGAGAACTTTGGAGGGAACTTTAGAGAGTGTTTTAGAGAGCGTACGTGTTAACAATCCCGGTATAATGGGTATCGAAGAAATGTGTATATCATTAAACCATAATATTGCATAGAGTATAGTGACAGTGTGGAGTATTCATTTATAGAAATGCTCCAGGGACCACAATATTCATCAACATAAACTCATGATATTATATATGTCGGTCTTTAGTCTTTACATTATTTGTTCATTACATTTAGCATCAATATTCTGTGCTGTGTTCACGACTCAGGACCAGCAATATGAACAGTCCAGGATAATGTGCGTGGCCATTGGCCTGGCCACGCAAAGTTGAGACAACACATTTAACATAAGTGCTCAACTTTCATGTGGATACAGAACTTTATTCTTATTTAAACGCTTTATTATTACTGGAACAAAAGATACGAATATCATGGGCTCCAATTTTCAATGATGTCTTGAAACTACACACAACATCAGATGGATCTTAGATAATAATAATAGACACACCCAAGCTCTAAATACTGAGAGCTACGATCGAAAACCAGAATCTAAACATTGGTTATAAGCTCAAAACGGTTATAAAACCAGAATCTAAACATTAGTTATAACCTCAAAACAGTTAAAATACCAAACATGAAACTCTGTTTAAATCATAAACAAATTGTCTGCAAAGTTGAGCTACAGAATTGTTTACAAACTAGCAACAAATAGACAGGCTCTAATCGATATTCCTGTTATAACACCTCCAACTCGGGCAGTACATCCCAAAGTTAGTCTCAACTTTGTATTATCACAGGAGCACATCTCTGTAAGGTAAATAACTGCTGGCAACATGTAACACATCCCTTCCCCAATATCTTGAATTCCTCAATCTTGCACAGATGATGCGTTGATTTGTCCGGAAACTTCCCTAAAAGGAGACCACGAGATCACGACGTTTTAACACTCCTAGGGTTGCTGTTTTATTTTACGCCGTAACCTTATTACCTTCTGGCACATTTTGGGCGTTATCTGCTACTTATCTTGCCTCCTAATTTCTAAACGCAAAAAAATTCTAAAATTGGAGATGTGGTATGTGGTTTTAGGGCAAGCCTTGACAAAGAGGAATTGTCAGTATTAAATCCAGAGGATAGGTATATTCTAGAATATTTGTCTGACCCAGCAAATTCCGTTAAAATCATGGCTCTGGGCTAGTTTATACTCAAAAGAGCTCGGATGAAGAATTTACGGCCACTTTCGCAGACTCTAGACAGAAAATCTAGACAAAAACAGTCATTTGTGTCCCGTCTCCGTGGACCGTGTATGTAGAATGTATGATCACCACAGCGTAAGCTTTAACATTTGATGCAATAGGTATCATGATAGTATGATATAATGTATTTTGGATCTAAAATGTTTTTAACGTTAACATTCTGAGCCACTCAGGGGCGAACTGAGGCGTATAATAAATTTAATTGAATCGATGTCATTTACTTGTATATTAACAGCTTGCGATCAAATTTTATAAAATGAAACGCATAATTACTTAATTATAATATACACATTTAATAAATTTATATTTATATCTACTGCTACCCGCTTCTAGTAGCTTCCAATTATAACCTGATAACCAATAACCATGGGGATAATGTTTTTTTGTCCATTTTTGTCCTCAGAATATAGGTTACCGCATAGATAAAAATGGACAAATATGGACAAAAATTTTAACTTTTGGTTTGGATTATCTCAATTTTTAACAAACTACCTGCAGAAATGGTTAACGACCATTCACGATCAACGACCATGGCCCTTTTGAGGATAAACTTTGGGCATCACTTTCAAAGTTTAAATCCTCATCTAGGTACAGAAAATAGTCTGTATTTCTATGATGACTCTCAAAGAGAGGAACCTGGGAGCAATGGTAAGTAATCTAAGTATTACCAAGATATGATTCCAAGATCAGCTAGAGCTGCCTGTACGAAATTTTGTTTTCAGTGATTGCGATAGTTGACGTTCTAATATGGGACGTGGATGCAAAGTCTTATCCAACGTGACGAAGGTGCACACGTATCCTTATCAACTGATAAGCTTTTCTCACAAATATCGTCTTCAATTCTC